GCATTGTACACGAATCGTTGCACGAGGAATTTTCTAGGATAGGAAAAAAAAAAAGTTGCGAACTTTTTAGGCATCTCGAAATTCGTAAAGAAAGGAATTCGAGCGATGCAAAAGTTGAAAAGCATCTGGATTGAAACTGGATAAAGCTTAATTCAGTGGCTCGATTTCGAATGTTGAAGAGAGTTGGTAAAGTCTGCCCTAACGAATGGCGCTTGCGTGGTGCGCCAATTGCATTCGACATGGATGCAACAAGTGCAGGAAGGGCATTACAAACCCACCCTACTACTCGTAACGAACCTAATTCAACCAAGGATTAACACTTTCACCGCCAGACCGAGTTTTTACTTTCATTCATGCCGCGCTGCTTCGTCTTCGTTCAATCTATAATTCTTGTAACATATGTTTTGAAGCATCGGTGCAACAATGTAAAAACCTATATTAAAAGCGTTTGTTAAATTGTATCTTATAAAATATACCCACAACATTTTGTAATTAGATATCGATATACGATTAAGCCATTCCTAAATATGAAATTCTATTTAATATATAAAATATATAAAAATATAAAAATATAAAAATATATAAAAAATATATATATATATATATATATATAAATAAGAGAAATAATTTGGAAAGAATTAACATTGTGTGCGTTTGAAACGTAACATTAGTCACATTGTTGCATTGCGTGCTCTCTACTTTAATTTGTAGATACGCGTTCTATTTCTTTAACGGGGGAAGTGCACTCGCGCAAATAAGCTGACCACGGCGGGATCTCGGTAATTTAATTAATTAAACGTATTATTTCGATATACCATTGCATTAATCTCCGCAGTGACTGTCCCTCGTAATAATCGCGTTTGAAATGCATGGCACACGCACCACCGTCCCTTCGCCCTGATAAAAAAAAAAAAAAAAAAAAAAAGTATCAACAACATGGAGAAACTCGAGTTGCGCCTGCGTGCCGAAGCAGCCGGCTGTGCATTGACGCAACAAGTGCATGCAAGATGCACCGCGACCCAGAGGGGGTGGGGTGGGATGTTGGCTTACGAGGGGGAGAGGGCAACGGGGTTGGGTGGGAGGTGGTGAGTGGAGGAAGGTGGGGAGATGAAAGGGGTGGAGGGCGAGGAGAGGAAGGAATTAAATGCAAGGCGAGGGAGGGGGCACACCACCGGAGAAGGGCACGAGGTTGGCACGCGCCGAGTGCAACGATTCACTCGAACAGAGAGGGAGAGAGAAATGCAGAGAGAGAGAGAGAGAGAGAGAGGGAGAGGGAGAAGGTGAAAAGGAAAGAGTGCAACGCATCGAACGGAAAGATGATGCATCCTCGGCCGACTCCCGTGCCAGTTTTTTTCCCCACGCATCCACGGTGCGAACATTTGTTTGCGGTTTATGAAATCGAGGGGACAAGTGATATAGAGAAACGGCGGCACTTGGGGATACAGGAAATGCAAACAAAGTGCATTCACTCACGGTCGGGTCAGCACCGGCTGCAGGGGTCTAACTTACCCCTATGCACCCTTCCTATCGTACAACCTGACTGACTTGATACGAGGTGCGAGGTGCAGTGGCCTTGTTATGCAAATGGGAAAAGTGCAGTTCCGTGAGTGCAAGTGGAAAAACGTGCGTTCACGTGCGCTGCGTGTTGCGTAATAATGCACTTGACACTCGAATCTTTTGTAGCGTAAAATATATATATATATATATAGAGAGAGAGAGAGAGAGAGAACGATCGTTTTCATTCGTCGAATTCTGGATTAAAATGGATTAGATCGTCGTTGTTATTGGTACTCGGTCTTTCGTTCTTCTTAGGAAAAAGACGAAAGAGAAAGAATGGTCGAATGCAGGTACGTTTTTACAACGAATCGAGTGCGATTGCATTGGTTACAAGCCGGTTTACCGCAACGCAGGTTTGCATATGACAATCGAACAAGCTACGATGCACGTGCCGACATTATGCGGATGCACCGCAAAGTGCATTTCCTTTCATCGGATCTAAAATAGCTTTTGCGGTCATGGAATTAAGCATGTGCATGAATTCCGTATCTTCCGAAGAGCAGCTAGCGGACAAAAAGAAAATTGAAAACCACAGATGTGACAACGAAACGATCTAAAAATAATTCATCCAGGTGGAAATGAAATGCATTTTGCGAAAACTTTTTAACATTGCGTTTCTCCGTGATTTCTTCGAAGATAAGCAGATGACTACGACAAAGAGAGCGGTGTATCTTTAGATGTGGAGATAAAAGTGGTGAAAATAAGAGAGCTAGAATCGATATAATTGGCATTATTCGTTACGAATTTTCCATTCGGTTCTCACACTCGCGAAGCTAGAGTAACGTCACACATTGGCGAGCTTAACACAAAGAGGCCGATAGAGCCAGTTAAAGGAAATAGAATCAGAAACGCGGTGGATCCCATGGAATTATTGTAAGGATTGCTAAGGGGTGAGACCCCTCGGGCCTTAAACTAGTTTCCGCTCGTACCAGTTCGTTTCTCTTCACCGTCTTCCTTTTTCTTTCTCCATCTTTTCTCGCCCTTTCTTCTTCGTGTCACTGTAGCCATCGTACAAGAGTGCTTTACATTTGAAACATATCGGCTTATATGGAAATGAATGTTTAGCCATGCATCGGTCTTAAACATCAAAAATGGGAGGCCCAACACTCGCTGCTGGAAGCTGATACGCGAGTTTTCGAGCAGCGTAAAGAGGACAACTCGGAAGTGATACTCGTCCCTCTGAATTCCCGATCTGTCTATTGTCGGCCAACCATCTCCCCGCCTAATCTCTTTGCTAACTATCATGAAAAAAGATTTCGTTTATTACAACCGTTATATTCGTCACCCTAATTTAACCCTTTACCTGTGACGAACCCCAAAACAAAACCACTCGTTGCATATGGCGTATTTACATCAACGTGTATTAGAAGCGTTAAATTTCCCATCAGATTTTATCTTTTGTCCAAACAATCGACATTTTATCGGAAATATTTTAATTATCCGTTTATATTCTTTCTTCGGGTATCAGGTAGATGATAGATATATTCGATTTCGATCCGTATTTTAGATATATTTTATACGATAATAAACATCATTGTTCCGTTATTAAAATTGAAAAATAACTCGATTCCGAAGTTGTGTCATCTCTGCCGCGATTGAGAATTAATACATTAATGTAAATTTACACGATATACGTTAATTTTTATCCCATATCTTATTCATATCACCAAGAAATTTTAATTTCCAATAATTATCGTTGTTAAACTTGAAAATTTCGTTTTCATTTTAACGATATCAATGCAACGAGACAACCAAATTAAAAGTTCTCGCACGTACGGTTCATTACACATTGCACGTTGCATTTAATCGATCTTATCTCATATCGAGTATCATTACGACCAGTAACAAATTCTCGGTTTATACCTTTGCACGTTCCTATCGTCAATAAGGTTTCTTGTGGCAAGAGAAATCGGTGGTATGAGTAACCGAGAAGAGAAACAGAGAAAGGAACGAGGTTGGGGGATGGTGAAATAACAGATTGCAGTTGTGGCACGAGCGAGCAGCCTGGGCTCAGCTCGGCGCTCGTAAGGAGAAGGCAGGTGCCACATTTTTTTCGAACGCCTGCTTCACCATCGAGGCTCGATGTGCAGAGGCTCCCAAACAAATTTCTAGTAGAATTTCAAAAAAGTTTTCGAACAAAAAAATCGTAACCTTAATTTATTGGTAATTAATAATAGACGAAATGATCCTTTTTACGACGATATTATATATATATATATTATGAGTTAAATTCGAACGCTCATCGATACGAAGAATAAAGAATAACAAAGTCGATGAATAAAAATTTATTGATTTCAAAGTAATCAACGATATAAAAGTCCTATGTACGACAAAAATCCAACAAAATATAAAGACAATTTAATTCTAATTCGCATCTTCTTGAACGACGATTTATCGATGTAATCTTTAATCGAGAAAATTGTTTATTGACAAATGTAGTGCGTATAACAAAAAGTGCAATCTGCGTATAATAGTGACAATACGTACCAGTGATCCATATGTGTGCGATATGTTGCGGCAGCATGCGAAAAAACAGTGCAAATGTAATTTGTATTCTACTGAATTGGCATGCATAGATATAGAACGATATTATTAAAATTGCAACGTTTATGCTATATATCGCTATCCATCGAGCCAATCGCGTTGAAACAATTTTGCGAGAAATTTAAACAACAATTGAGAATCAGATTTCTTTTGGGCAAATTTTTATCGAGCGAAATAATTGGGCATCTTTGTTTATTTTGTGAAGTACGATTCTTTTAACTGTATCCGACAAAATTATTCAAAATTCTATGACAGGAATGAGTTCCACTGTGGATAATCCTCGACGATTTTTGCTTGGACACGTTCGGCACGAGTTCAAACTCTCGTGTTTGCGCGCTCGCGCGCATTTACTCGCGTGCGGCCAATTATGCACCTCGTTATGCCAGCATTACGCGTGATCTCTCTTTTGATCGAGAAATTGCCTAGGGTTAATAACCCCTGCTGAAGTTTGTGTAAGCGATTACATAAAATTTTTCGAAGACAAATGGACTATTAACACGTAAGAACAAGTTTGCTCACTGCTGGGACTTGACGAGTTGAATAACTTTTTGGATATTTAATACATAATGTATGTGTAAGTAAATGTAATTCGGCAGGCGTTTCCTGTATGCTTAGCAAATTTATGGTCGTTTAAAGAATGGCGGTTAACAATATTCACCGGTCGAGTAAGTTTTAATTATAACAGCAGTACGATGCTTCGTGGCTAATTTATTTAATAAGTATATATTTGCATACAAAGTAGTCTAATATGCGTATAAAGCAAAGCTTCTTATCGCCAAAATATTGTTGATTAATCAAATAACGAATACTGGATTGATAGAGAAGTTTAATTTGTAATTAATAAGATTGCGTAGCATAAACATCACACATGATTCTACGTGAAAAAATTCAAAACTCACCGTTTCTTAGGTCCACTGGCTACAGATGGCTCCACGACAAGGGCTGATCCGAGATACGTATATCCTAAAACAGACAAAAAAAAACAAATGTTTACTGATCGTTAATTAACATCGTTATTCTCAAAAGATATTTTTAAATTTAGCAGTATATTTTACATATTGCGAAAAAGAAATAAAGAAAGCATAGAAACTCGAAAGTAACATAACCTAATCTATGGTACAGCTAGAATTTTCTCATAGCATCATGAAAATAATAGAATTGGGTCAACACGAACAACCTGTTAGCTATGGTTCGTTTAAAATCTAACTCCGGTCTAACAACGACTGATGGGAGATTTTCTCATGGAAAAATATACAGAGCACCGGTTTCGAAAAATAGAATTTGGCGGTTGCTTCCGGGTTTTGATTTGCACATGTAAAAATTGCTGCAACTGATCTAAAACTATCACGTATCTTACTCATATTCTAATCAGGATCAAGAGGTTATGTGAACGTATCCGTGGTCAGAATCTCGTGCTAGCGAATTTTTCGACACGGTCCGAGGGAACATACATACATACATGCATACACAAATATTTCCTTTCCTAGGCGCCAGGTGTCTTCTACCAGTTAGACCCATCTAATTTTCTCTAACCAGTTCCTCTTTCTAAGTGTATATATTACAAAAAATTTACGAAACCGTTTTTATCGACTATCCAAAATAACCGTTTTCATTTACCCTATATAAAATCGAAACCCTATATAAAATTGATCACATAAAAAAATAAATTTTATCATTTTCACGATTTAAAGCTTTAAACGACAATTAATTTTCTATGCGTACTCTGCCTAATAACTAGATGCGCGCGCATATCTTTCGAAAATAGTCAGTTACGCCAGTTAACGCATCGGTGACGAAGTGTTTGCAGGTTACTTGCGTTTGAATTTAATAATAGATTGTATTTAATTAATAATTTGTCCTATTGTTCCAATATTAATCAATGTTAAAAGTGTTTAGAAGGAAGTGATTGTTTTCAGTGTGTTCAATTCGATTCGATAACGAAAATATTCTTTGTTTCGTAAAACAAGGTCGTCGTAAGGATGTAAACATAGTTTTGTCGGTAAGAGTCAAGACTTCTAAATATAATCTACGCAATACACTTTTTTTTGTTTCTTTGTTTCGAAAAGAAATATACTGAAATATTTCATTTAGTTTTATTTTCGAGACTGTATAATTTCATAACCTAAATTATAGTTACTAAATCATAGTAGTTGTTAATTCAAGGAATCATTAATGAATAATTTTTGTTTCTATTTTTGATAATGATTAGAAATAGATTGATTATAGTGATTCGAAAAATTATTATAAGAAAAATATATGCATTCCTATTTATATAAGGCATATGTTTAATTGAAAAAATAATGACTTTGTGTTTTATATTGTTATTAGAAAATGAAAAAAGAAGATTTAAAGATAGAGAAAACGAAACAATAAGATTTAAAATATGACGACTAATGGAATGATCGAATTGTCCTTCGAAATGAAGTTACTAATAAAGTAAGTAAAAATGATATTTCGTTTTACAATTAAGTTATAAGTAACGATTAGTATAGAATAATTTAAAAAGCAATACGCTTTATTCTATACTTTGATACTAAATACAAACTATGGTTTACGGTATACACAATGGCATATACATAATAAAACGTATGTGTATTTGAAGTAGGTTTTTGGATTTCTTACGTACTCTATAGGTTAGAAAGAAAACGTTTGATTCGATAAGTTATTTAGAAGTCGTTCGAAAATGGAGAGGTTCTCTCCTGTTCACATATTAGTTACAGTCGGTTTGCGTCAAAAATACTCGCAGGCTTCTTGATGCTCGTCACAGATCGTCGACGGACATCGATAACAATCTCGGCGCTTCGCATTTTCGTACGCGGAGTGGTATTTTTTTGAATGAGCCGAGTCTGCTTCAGAAAAACCGGGTAGATCTCTCTTGCGGGGTACAATGGCGTGTGGCGAGTGGCGGAATTGTGTTCGCGAGGAGTCTATTAAATGCAGTAGAATGCTTGGTATATACAATGAGGGTATATAACATAACCTACCGGGTAGACTAGCTTGGGAATTCGAATGAATTAAAAATGCGTGTATTAAACGTAAAACGGTGAGAGGAAGATAGCGTTACGGTATCTTCTCCGAGTACTTGAAAATGAAAAGAGGCAGAAACAGATAGGGAAAAAAAGAAAAGAAGGAAGTAACGCTTAAATGGCTACTTAGTATAGTCCCGTGTCAAGTCTCCCTTCATCTTACCCTGTAGCAATAATATTCGTAAGTGTTTCCATGGACGAGTGTTTGGCCCGAGTACAACAGGTTTCATGCGAAAGCCAATTCGCGACAAGGTGAGAAGAAGGAGGGGAGGTAAAGTTTGACGAGGTTTTAATTTGAATCTTATGCTGCGTTAAATTCGACGTGTGCTTTTACGCTCGATTTCACTTGTTTGTCGTATAGAAGGCTATTACGATGAATTACAATGTCATCTTACCGAATGACTTTAACGTATTTCTGTAATAATTATTCGAAATTTAGAAGAATGTTCTAATATTTTTGAAGAAGATTTATATCTGTTTGTATTAATTTTAATTTTTTTGAACGTTTGTACATATTTTTGCTCTAAATATGAAATTGCTTCGATAAAATAAAACTTTTCGAGTTATCGTTCAATGCGACTATATTAACTCTTATTATTTAGAATTAACAAATACGTGATTAAATCGAACGATCGATAATTGGCGTAGGAAAACACAGGCATTCGTCTCGAAAACGGGACACCCGTTATACGCCTAAAATATACCGGCATCTCGCATGGGGCGCGCTGCTAAGAAATGCAGAAACAGCAGTTGCTATGCTAGGTGGTACTCCCTACAAACACACGCATACTTGTACACGATACACGCTCGAACCTCTCTCCTTCTTTCTAAGTACCGGTGAAATTCATGCATAAGAGAGACACACATAACGAGCACTCCCATACATAGAGAAGGATACGCGTCTTGCCTAGTCACACACAGATTTTTCAGGGGTTTGCCCCACGTGTACACCGCGTGCTCCGTAGATTGGGCGTGTGTTCGTGGTGCACGAACACATTGGTGCACGAGGGAGTAGAGAGAGCAACTTAGAAGAAAAAAGGAGAAAGAGAGCGAGCGAGAGGAAGCGAAATAGCGAGAGAACGAGGGGTGTAGCCGTGGTGGTATTAGAACGGCAGCGAGAAGGGAGCAGAAAAGAGGGAGTGGAAATGAGATAGAGAAGGCAGCGTACGAGGGACGACAAAGTGAAAGAAAGAACGAGAGAATACGAGATAGAGACGGTGCACGAGGATGAAAAAGGACAGGGAAAAGACGAAATAGAGGGAGGGAGAGAGAAACAAGCTGTTTGAACTAAGCGTAGCCAGGGTCTAGAAGCAAGTTTTCGGATCGAGTCGGTGTATGTGGGTAAGAGAGTAGGTTAGCAGGCTCTCCCGAGGGAGAGAGTAATAGTAGATTGTCCTGTTGAACGAGCAGGATAGCAAGTGCCTTTATAGTGGGTCAGTACTAGCCGGCACCCGGCTAGCAAGCCTTCAAGGTCTCTTTAGTGCTCCTACCTCCTCCCTCCCGTTCCACCATCTTCACTGCTGTTGCCTACAACGAAAACTGCCAGGTAGGTGAAGCTGAAGCGAGCAAGAGCGAGCTTAGGAGAGCTATCCGGAGGTCGTCGCGCAACCCACCTAATATATATTCATTCTTTCTCTCTCTCCTTCCTTCTCCCTTTTTCTCTCGCTTACCTTCCCTTCTCATTCCGTTTCTCTTCTTTGTCCCTCTTTCTTGATACACTTTACCGGTTCTTAACTCAAATCTCGTCAATTTCTGCCTGACGATGAACGGTTTCCAAAAACGATTGCGTTCAAAAAATACATATGTTTCGTCAATGTTATCTTCGTGAATGAGAATCTTTCCACTTTGGTACGCGATGAAATAAAAATAAGAAAAAGATGATTGAGAAATTGCATATATATATATATATATATACACATATATATACACACATACGAATAATTAATCGTGGAATAAGAACGATCTCAACTATCTCGAATTTTATCGGTTATCAATGTTTATTTATAATTTGTGTATTATTAATAGAATGCGTTCACTTCGATACCCGATAGCTTCATCGAGGTAGGTAACGTAAATCTCGTTATATCTGAGCTGCTAATACAGCGTTTTCATATCTCGGCACTCGATACATCAGAACGATTCTTCGGCGTGGACTGATTGCGGAATATATTCCCTCGGCGAATACTTCGATAATTGCCGGAAGGGAGATCATCGATAGGCCATGAATTTCTGACGTTGAAGTCTCGAAAAGTAACTTTAATGTTAGAAACATCGTTACAACGATAAGGCGAACCTTACAGGATGACATAACAGCGAAGAGTTTCTTGCGCCGGTTAAAGAGGAAGGGAGAAAGGAAAAAAAAAGGGAAGAGAGATAGAGATAAAGAGAGCTAGAAAAAGAGGTGAGAGAGAGAGAGAGAGAGAGAAAGAGAGAACATCGGCTCCATGGGGAAGTAATAAAATATTTGGGTAGCGCAGAGCGGGAATGGGAATGGGAATGAGAACAGGTTCCTGTTGCGCATTCCAGGCCGATGCTGAATACCGATGCCTTGGACACGGCGGTTGGCACGGCTAGGTACATAAATTACTATTGAGTTACAACTCGCTAGTTCAGTCCCACGGAAATCGTTTACGAATTCGTGAATCACGGGTCAAAATCGTGCGGATCTATCCGATAATTTGCCGATTAATATTTCCAACGAATTGATATTTTTCGATTTCTTGAAAACACCAATAAATCATTGGATATTGTTCGTTGAAATTAATTTGTTTCGATAAATGTTGACATAGGTATTGACGCCAGTCGATCATCGAAAGGCAAATATCGCAATTAAATTTTTGCTTTGGAGATAAAAAAAACATTGTACATTGATATAAAGGTGGATTGTTTGAGAATAAAGTTTGCATGATTCCAAGTAAAAAATCTTCCATCGAGATA